TTTTTTTTTTTTTTTTTTCGAAAACCTCTGCTGTGGTGGATTTATAACAATCTTCAATTGATGTGCCGCGGCTTGGGAACATAGGGGATGGTGGATGGTGGCCCCTCGGCTGATGGTGGCTTGATACTTTAGATGGTGGGTCACGCTCATTGAGGATAGGAGTGACGAAAATAATGACGAAATTCTGTACAGCTATGTCTGCTCGTTGATACCATCAGAATGAATGATTTCATATGACTTGACATTGTCACAATCAGCTCCAGTCATATGGCCAAGAGCGCAACCATTGAGGAGGAAGACGACTCATGCGGGGTGACCCCCAGGCACGAGCCAGTGCCACCCATGCGTGCTCCATTGTATTTTTCTCAAGGGCGGCACATTGATTTTTAAGAGGTACTCGGCCCCGTGCGCACATGGTGCAGGGTGATCGATAGTCGTCGACATCGACTAGACTAAATCGGAAATGGTAGATCTACGCCCACTCCGGACCACGTGGTAGCGTCACGTTGCGCCCGTGGGCCGTCGCCAAAGTCGCCGTCACCGCAGCTGCCTTTGTGCACAGTAAATTTGGCTCTCGCGTTTAAATTGCGGTGACAAGTCCAGGCTTAAATGATCATAATGCAGCATGCAATGGATCGTGTATCCGCAGCCTCTGGGCGCAGCTTTGAATCCCCACTATGGCTGGCTCTGCCACGTTAGGGTTCTGTCAAACAGGTAAGCGGACTTCTCAGCTCCGTCAATCTCCTCACGTTCCTGGTCTGCCCAGGTCTTGCGTAGGTGGATTGCAGAGCCACTGCACTAGTGCTGTACAAGTGGCGAAGGCGGTTAGCCCAGAAACCGATTTTTATCTTCTCCATCACCGCTCAGTCGTCGGTCTCGCTGGTGATCATTTCGTTGATGCGTCCTGGCGGTGAGGGTTGACTGCGACTGCGGAGAACGTGCTGGGTGCACATAAATATCCGTGAACGCGCCGCTATCGTCCCCTCTCGCCTCCTCATTTCCCCTCACCTTGTTTTGTCTTACACTCTTTCACGGCTTTACTTCCCGAACCGCAGGCTTGTACGAGCACGAATACCTACGTCGACGTCTGCTCCAAAGTCCCATGGCTGCAATACTAATCTACAAATACTTCTTCAAGAAAGACAAGGATGCCGTAGCCCCCACGGGCTCCACCCCATCGACTTCCGACAACCAGGCTCAGACATCCAATCGCCGATGGATGATACTCCTCAGTATTTCTCTTCTGATCCCTGTTCTCTTCGAAACCCTGGACTACACAGGTTCGTTATATTTGTATCCTTCGATACGCTCAGCCCTTCTGACATGCTTCCAGTTGTCGCCACCGCTCAGACTCACATAGCCGTCCGTGTTGGCTTATTTCAGTCATCCGTGCTTTTACTAATGCCCCGCTATCATTAGTCCTCCTTTAATCAGCTCAATCTGCAGAGGTGTGTTTGCCAGCCTTATATTTTTCAATCAAGTTTGATCAGTAAATTCTAGCTGGATTGGGACGGCATATCTACTAACGTCCACGGTGTTCCTGCCTCTCTTTGCATCTGTTGCGGACATTTGGGGCCGGCACTCGGCTCTTCAGCTGTCGCTGTTTTTCTTTATGATTGGGAGTGCGATTAGCACCGGCAGCAACAACATGGTCACCATGCTCGTCGGTCGTGGTGTCGCCGGAGTTGGCGCTGCAGGCTTGCAAGCGGTAAGCTCACCCCTGCCCTGTCATCCGCCTCGCTGACCGTGGCAACGGCACAGGTGGTCAGAATTATCATGGCTGATTCCCGTTCCTTGGACGCCAACAACTGGCAGCAGTCGATGCTGTTCCTATTATTCGCAATTGGATACTGTATTGGTCCCTTCATCGGGGGAGAACTATTGACCATCTCGTACCGGTGGATTTTCGCCATCAAGTGAGCTCGATACCTCGTGATTTACTGCTGTTGTTCTCACAATATTATTAGCCTACCCGCGTGCGTAGTCGGGATGGTATTTGCTTTCTTCATTCTCCGCAGACGCGCGAAGGGGCCGCAGAGACGGAGCGGGCTCCCCGCCTCGATGGACGAGACGTTCGTCCAGCAGCTCCTCCGCGTCGACTGGATTGGCGCGTTCCTGTTCATGGCAGGCGGTATCCTCATCATGTTGGCATTGAACTGGGGCTCTACCTACGGCTGGGACTCCGCGCGCGTGGTTGTGTGCTTCGTTATCGGCGGCCTCATCTACGTCGCATTCGTGCTGGTCGAGTGGTTCCTTGAACGGCGAGCGATGTCAGCAGCCTCCTCGCAGACGACCACTCTGCTTCCTGAGCCGATGCTCCCGCTAGTGGTTTTCCGCTCACTTGATATCTGCCTCATACAAGCGTCTACGTTTGTTTCGGGCATGGTTATGATTGTCATCTTTTACTTCGTCGCTACGTTTATGACCATTGTCGCTGGTCGCTCTGCCTCGAGCGCGGGCTCGCAGCTGGTCTATTTCGCGCCCGGCATGGTGAGTGAATGTGCGTAATCTCGATGGTCAAATTCTGACGACGGCGGCTGTAGGGTGCTGGCTCCATTACGCAGATCTACTGGATAAAGCGCTTCAGGCAGGTAAGAGCGTCCATCTCTATGATGTTAGCGAATTGCTGGATTAATTATGCTCTGGGTAGCCCAAGGCTCCGATTGTTCTTGGGGGAGTGGTCATGACCGTGGCGTTGGGTCTGCTTTCGATGGCCCTCGAGCAAAATAAAGAGGGCCTGGTTGATGGGTGCGTTTCTCTCTTACAACTACTGAATTAGACTCATCTCCCGAGTAGGTTCATGGCAATGACGGGCGTCGGGGTCGGGCTGTCGATCGGCGCCCTGGCTGTGCACGCACGTTTCTCGCAGCCTGCAGACAAAGTCGCCATCGTCTCCGCTCTATCTCTCTTCGTACGTCCTTCTCCTCTATCGCCGCTCGCGCGCTCATCTCCTCCTTCAGTTCCGTGCGCTTGGCGGCACGATTGGGCTAGCCCAGTGCGGTGCGGTCCTCAACGCAAAAGTAAAATTGTACCTCGAGGACCTTATTACGTCCGGCACGATATCAGGCGCAGCCGCAGGGCAGCTGTCTCAGGCTTCGGCGTCACTTAGCTCCATCCAGAGCATCAACGCACTGCCATCCGAGCTGCAGTCGTACGTGAAGGACGCCTTCCGGGACGGAACGCGCTGGGCCTTCATCTCGCTCGTCCCATGGGCCGCGCTCGCCGCCATTGGGACGCTGTTCCTCAGCAAAATTCGAGATACAGATCGCGAGCCGGAGGTGCAGGAGGAGATATACATGGAAGTGAAGCAGGACTCTGCCGAAACCCGTGTTCTGCATTCTCAGCGAGCGTTTGTTTTAGGAAACCCTGCAGAAGAAGAAGTCACAGGAAGAGGAGGCCTGATGCTGGAGGAGTCCGGGTGGGAGTATCGCCCGCCTGTGCCGACTTGACGATGACTATGTATATTTATACCCACGGTTGATACTACTTCTAGTAATATTTATGCTGTTTGTTCTCATATTGTTTGAAGGCGTTAGGAGGTTCAAAACATCGCGGGCAATATCCAAAGTTCGAGTGGCGAACATGCGTTGAACACAGCTCGCAGGAGACAGCAGGTTTTCATTGCGTTCGGAGCTTAAACATTAAGAGTGCTCAACTGCCAGACATGGGTGATTCGCAGCTCCTGATTGGCTGAACACATTAACACGTTCGAGCTCTGAACATGATCAGGGAATGCTGCCTTCAGCGACCGACGTTTTCCCAATGTTCGGCGCTCGATCCTTGGGCGTGTCTCGCAGTGAAGTCAATTGACTGGGGATGGCGGCAAATACCGGGGACAAAAGGCAATGTTCAGAGAGGGAACATAGGTCGAACACGTACCGGTAGGGATCACGAATTCCCAGTGATGATACAGAGAACATTCAATTCAAATTTTAAATATTCATTTGATGTACAGAAATACTTGCAGAACATTGAAATAATATTTGAAAATTACAATACGCTGAAAGAACATTTCAAGTCTTACCTGCATGTTCTGTAAACAGGCACTATGGGAATTCGTGATCCCTGTTGGAGCATGTTCGACGACCCATACTTTCCCTCCGAAAATCGGATTTTGCCCCCGGTGAAAGCCGCGGCGGTGCCGCCACGAGGAGCTAAGTACAAGCGGTCCCAAATCGGGAGCAGATCTGCGGTCTCACCACGGACCACGACTGCGGGCCCCGGCGACACACAGGGATTGTCGCGAGTCTGCACTGCTTGACTTGTAGCGGACAAGATCAATTTTGGCATAGTTCGGATAGAATGTAAAATCAGCCTGTGCCCCCCTGCCCCCGCACTGCATCACCACATGTATCTCCAGTCGAGGCGGCTGGGTCTCCCGACTGGCAGCAGGTATGATATGGCGCAGCAGCCTTCGAATATACTAACGGCTCTGTGCAGTGCGGTCCTGTCAATCAAGTAAGCAGATTGTCAAACTCGCCGCTCATCTTTCTGATCCTCCCAGGTCATTTCGCATGCGTGAACTGCGCCGGAGTCATACTCTAGGCCAAATGACCTTCATCTCAGAGTTGTCTTTAGCGCCGCCGGGAAACAAGGCGGATCCGAGTCGTACAGAAAATGGAAATTGGACCCTTGGAATAGTACTGGTTCTCGCTGCCCATTTTCTGCTAATACCACCGTGTCCGACGAAGGGGTGGAGTATCCACGACTGCGGTAGGCGTGTTACGTTTGTATAAATTTCCAAGGAACGCCCTTCCATCCTCACTTTTTCTCCGTTCCGTATTCCCCTCGTCCTGCTCTTCTTTCACTCCGTTCGAGGAATTTTTGTGGATACTTTATCTGTCCGTCGTTTACTCGTGTTCCCGCCTTCTTTCGCAGTATAGAAAGCGTACGAGTACGAAGGCCTACGTCGACTTTTCTCAAGAAGCTTCATGGCTACGATACTTGTTTACAAGTATTTCTCCAAGAAGGACACGGATGTCTCTCCCACGGAATCAGCAGAGGGTCAGCCTGAGGCCCAAGCATCTGGCGACTCTAGCCGCTCCGACAGTCGTAGATGGATGCTACGCCTCAGTATCGCGCTGTTTATTCCGGTTTTTTTCGAGACTCTTGACTATACAGGTTCGTAATCATCTTGATTTTCGTGCAATGGATCTGTCTGAATTTCCTTCAGTCGTCGCCACTGCCCAGACTCACATAGCCGTCAGTTTCAATTGATCTCGACTGTTTACTTTTTATTGACCTCTATCTACCATTAGTCTGCTTTTGATCAACTCAGTCTGCAGAGGTGCGTCTGGCTTTCATGTTTTCCGCAACATTTTCTCATCAATAAGTTCAGTTGGATCGGCACGGCGTACCTGCTAACGTCTACGGTGTTCCTGCCCCTCTTCGCGTCTATCGTAGAAATTTGGGGCCGACATACGACCCTTCATCTATCCCTGCTCATCTTCATGATAGGAAGCGCAATTAGCACCGGTAGCAACAACATGATCACGATGCTTGTTGGTCGGGGCGTCGCTGGAGTTGGCGCTGCAGGCTTACAATCAGTAAGCTACCAATCTATCCATAACCTCACGCATCTCGTTAACTAGGACCACTTCACAGGTTGTCAAAATCCTCATGTCCGATTCTAGTTCTCTGGATGCGAACAACCTGCAGCGGTCGTTGGTGTTCCTGCTGTTTGCAGTGGGATATTGCGTTGGTCCATTCATCGGAGGCGTACTATTGAACATATCATATCGGTGGATTTTTGCCATAAAGTGAGTTGGGCATCCCATAATTCGTAATCTGTTCCTGACAGTATCTCTAGCCTACCTGCTTGCGTGGTCGGGATGGCAATTGCCTTCATCGTCCTTCGCAACCGCACGAAGGGGCCCCAGGGCCGGCGTGGGCTTCCTGTTCCTGCTGATGAGACCTTTATCCAAAAACTCCTCCAGGTTGATTGGATTGGCGCAATATTATTCCTGACGGGCGGCATCCTGGTTATTCTAGCTCTGAACTGGGGCACTATTTACGGCTGGAGCTCCGCCCGTGTGGTTGTCTGCTTTGTTGTCGGCGGCCTACTCTACGTCGCATTCGTGTTTTTCGAGTGGTTCCTTGAGCGTCATGTGGCGCTAGCGTTCTCCTCGCAAACGCCTACTCTCCTCCCCGACCCGATGCTCCCGCTGGAAGTGTTCCGCTCCCTCGATATCTGCTTGATAGAAGCATCCGTGTTTGTTTCTGGCATGGTCATGATGGTCATTTTTTACTCCATCTCTACGTTCATGACAATTGTCGCTGGTGTCTCGGCTTCGAAGGCAGGGGCGCAGTTGATCTTTTTCGCGCCTGGTATGGTGAGTACATATGCGGCATCCTGCGGTGGTCCATTTCTTACAGTGGTGGCTGTAGGGCGCTGGCTCCATCACGCAGATTCTGTGGATAAAGCGCTTCAGGCAGGTGAGAGAATCCCCTCCCTCCTGCCTGTAATATCTCTTATTCTTTGAACAGCCCAAGGTTCCGATTGTTCTTGGGGGAGCAATCATAGCCGTTGCGCTGGGCCTACTTTCGATGGCCCTCGAGCAGAGCAACGAAAGCATGATCGATGGGTGCGTTCGCACCTCGCACCTGCGGGACTGGACTAATCTGGCGAGCAGGTTCATGGTTTTGACAGGTGTCGGTGTAGGGTTATCGGCCGGCTCTCTGGCCGTCCACGCGCGATTCACACTGCCAGATGACAAGGTCGCCGTCGTCTCCACACTATCTCTCTTCGTGCGTCCGTCTCCTCTATCTACTCTCACACGCTCACCTCGCTACTCAGTTCCGCGCGTTCGGCGGCACTATCGGGCTTGCCCAGTGTGGTGCGGTTCTCAACGCAAAAGTGAAATCCTACCTTGGAGACCTTATCGCGTCCGGCACGATATCGGGCACATACGCAGGTCAGCTGGCTCAGCCCGCGACCTCGCTCACTTCGCTCCAGAGCATCGATGGACTGCCCATCGAGCTGCAATTGTACGTAAGAGAAGCCTTCCGGGTTGGCACGCGCTGGGCCTTCATCTCGCTCGTACCATGGGCTGCGCTCGCCTGTATTGGAACGCTGTTCCTCAGCAAAATCCGGGACACGGACCGCGAACCGGAGGCTCCGGAGGTCATAGTCGTGGAGGTGAAGCGAGCTTCTTCCTCATACTCTGTCTCACATTCTGAACGAGCGTTCCCTTTAGGAGTCCCAACAGAAAGAGTCGCCGCAGAAGGAGGAAATCTAATGCACCAAGATTCCCGAGTGGGAATATTGCGCCTGTGGGCAACAATTGTACTGACCTGCTTCCGTTTACTGTTGACATGCCATTCAGTGACATTCGCACTAGCACACATTCGTTCCCTTTCTTGTCATTCTACTTCAATTTCATTGGATCTGTGATTTGATGTTGGTAATTGGCGTGAGCATGCTTAATTCTATCACGACCTATTGGCCGATACACGCTCTACCAACACCCCATCACATGCCTACTAGTACATGACACCAGTCTCACATTATTCATGAAAGCGCTGTTATGACAACTTTTACGGCCTTCCTAAGCTACAGTCAGTACTAAAGATACACCTAGGCCTGTCGCAAGCCGAGCAACACTCGATGCAACGCTCGACGCCAACAGGACAGTCAACGAGAACGGCAGGCTGCGGGTGTCCACGGCGCCTGCCTTCACCGCCCAATCCAAATACCACGGAATTGAAATGTACAACCACGTAAACACCCAGATGTATCCTATGAGGCGCCCCAGTCGCTCTGGTAATGTTAAGCCAACACGTTTGGCAGCGTAGATGGCAGCATCCTCCAGGGATATTGCTATCGCCTGCGCGACGAAGAAAGGGAACGAAGCCAGCGGCCGGCCAACCATGAAGTCTCCGCCGCAGTGCATGAGGCCCGACACCGCGAATCCTACATAAAGCTGGGTATAGGATGATCCCCACGAACCCGCTCTGATGCTCATGAGATGGCAGAACATCTTCCCGATCGATGTTGCGTACTGAAAAACAACAAAGACGGAACGATCCGTCAGCGCTGCAAGCACGGCGTCACGCGTGGACAAGTATTACCCGGCGAACCAGCTGGTGATATTTCCGCCTATAGGGTGCGTCAGCTGCATTCTGGGGCATAGAAGCGAGGAGCGGGACACTCAACCCCCAGAATCGTCGAATTGTGAATGACTCGGACCATGCGCCATACACGTCTGGCCAGTCGCGCGGCGGCGACCAGCCGAGCGCGACGAAAAGGGCAGCAAGAAGGCTGTATTCGAGTGCCAAGAAGGCGAACATTGAGCTGGATATCGCCAGGATATTCAGACACCGTCGGATGTGCCCTTGCGAGGACACGGAGAATAGATCTGCGCTAGGAGATGAGGAGAGAAGGGAGCCTTGATAGGCCTTTGCGAAGTCGGCGAGCAGATACCAGCGCAATGCTCGTGTTAACTGCTCGCGTACAAACTTCCAGCGAGGCTGGCTAGTGCGAGGAGGCACATTGGCAATCTATCATAATATCGGTCATGAAGGGACAGTTGTGATGAGCTCGTTGTACAAACCTCGTAATTCCAACCGACGCCACGAGGACTGTAGAAAACACACAGAGCCCAGTACATCCGGCGTAAAAAGGGTAGCTTTCCCGGGGAGACGTAGTCCCGCTCATGGCGGAACTCATTCAGAGGGTCCGTCAACCAGAGAAGGTGAAAGGCAGTGAAAAACTGCTTCATGAGCATGCACCCGATGGGGAAGTCGCGCGAGGGGCTACCGGCGGTCGATTTAAGAGCTAGCGCAAGGGCATAAGTATACACGAGAAATGCAACAGATCGAGCTGGCCACCGGGGCCGGAGAGCGATGAGGGTGGTGAGGAATACATTCTGTAACAAGAGACAAGGCAAGACGGGGAGTGCAGGGCGTGAATGGGCGGTCATGTCAGTGAGGCGCATCGAGTGCGGCGAGAGATGGGCCTCCTTCAAGGCCTTAAGATTGGACCAGGCTGCCTCGATCACACACGCCTCCGTTTTTGAGACCTTAAATTCTGATCCAAAGATCACACCACGTCGGCTGTATCAACGGACGCTCCAGCTGCAGCGTGCACTCCACTCACGCGACATATCATATAGTACGAACGCACTTGTTTATGGAATGCGAAGTCGCGAGCGCTGACGGAAGCTCAAACCCAGCTGTCAGCATTGCAAGTCAGTAACATGGAATGCGCCGCATAAGGACACAGCAGATTTTACCAGTATGTCCTCGTGTCCTGGCAATGCGCACTCAGAAGAGGGAGAGTCATCATATGCGCGCTTGGGGACCACTACTTGGCAACCGCTACTTCCTTTCCTCCTCCAAGGGCGCTTCAACTCCCACTCATGTAATGACTGCTGTTCGCTGCAGGTTAGTCGTTATCTCTGTTGCAAATTGTTTCGACGCACTAAACCCACGCTCAAGTACTGACATGCGCCTGTGAGACTGTTTGTACCGTATTCGGTTTACAGTCAGGTATCATATGTAGTGAAGTTACTTGCGCTTGTAACTCCATATGAGGTTCAAGCTGTTCAGCCACTATACTCTGGCAGGAGAAGTGAGGATGATCTACGCATCAGGTTGAACCATACCTCGACTTGCGATTTGACAGTAGATATCCACGTCTGCTTTGCTAATCAAAGGTGTTCAATCAGATGTTGTCCACATTTAAACCTGCGCTGCTTATGCTTATAGTCTATCAGTATAGAGTCATGCACTAGAAGACATGGAGGCAAATGAAGTGGATCTGGCAACGTGAAATAATTCTCCGAGAAGGGATGATTATGATAAGTTGATCGCGAGCTTACAGCTTCAGGTCCCATACTAGTACATTACTACTACAAGTTTATGCACAAGCAACTCACCTACTAGCTTGTATTACTGGCTGTCATTCCCTGTTTCTTGACCACACCATAAGTGACATGCTCGATGACCGTCACAGGCACGTATCCAAAGTGAGTTCCCCTGTTGGAAGTTCCGCTTTCTTCACAGGATCTCTTTGCACAAGCCCAGGCCACGCAGGGTTCAGACAATCAGGGTCCAGACCTGACACAAATGAATGGGGCGCTTGATCTATCGGACACGCCTTGATGTCGTGTGTGGAAGAAGCGATGCACATTGCACATTACCCTGACATTACCCAGACAGTTTCTGACGCGTTGAGGTACGACAGTCGGTATATATTGACGTCGACGTCGCGAGGGGCAATAGGGCGTGCAGAACAAGGTCATCAAAGCGCTGTAAGGTTTTCGTTGAGACCAAATGGCTATGTTCTTGTTATGGCTACTGGAGGGGTTGATGTTTGATCGTTTTACCCACATTGAAACCGATGGTTCCACGGCTGTACACTTCTACACAGGATCCGCAACAATCACTAAAGCGTCCTGAGTTTAGACAGCGAACAAGACTATGTGCACTCACAGCGAGGTAGCTAATTGAGAGCCACCGAGCGTTTGCATTCAACGACTCGTAAGCACTTCGTCTCCACAATATGAGCCGACTATTTCCAGCGCTCCGAGGGTCATGTTCGTCGTCTTTTCGACCCGTTATTCTGCCTCGAGCATTCGACCGCAAGCGTCCCCCAGGCCTCTTTTGCCTGAATTCGGAGATGAAGCCAATCCAACCCACTTACCCGTGGTTGATAAACACGAGCCTCGAGCCTCCGCGATTCTTCCTGTTCTGCCGACAATTGAAAGATGAATGTACTCGCTGCAGTATCTCGAAGCATGGCTTGACATCTTGACCTCAACTGGACGCAATTCATCAGGTTCTGCGCCAGAATTGGGCTCCGGAGTGGGAACGGCGGTGCATATCGGCGTGTAGCGTGGAGAACATGAGGCACGGGCGCTCGCGATCTGACTCGTCCTCTTCAATCTTTCATGTTGGTGCCCGCAGCACCCTCGCCGTTTCCTCACAGACCTGGTGTCTCGATGACTTCGTTCCATCCCCATTTTGCTGAGGGCGCAGCACCTTTCAGCGATTCCCCCATCTTCGAGCCCGACGAGAAGTGGAAGGCCGGCGTACGGAAGCAGATAGAAGACGAACTTCGGCCCATCGTCGAGCAGGTGCGCAATGAGCATAACAGGAGCCAGATATCACGGCAACAGTTCGACGAAAAGATGGGGCAAATGCGGGCTCTCGCGCAGCACCAATTTTCCGAGGCGTTGATGCGCGAGAGGCAGGAGCGTCTGTGGGCATCGGGCCAGCAGCCCAGCCAGCCATGGTTAGATGTACTGGTACGCGAACAAACGGCTGCTTATGCGAACGCCCAAGCGAGCGGTGGACGACAACAAGCTGCTTCTCAGACGACATTCACTCATGGCGACGAGAATGTGGCGGGGTCATCGAAGGTGAGTTGCTGATATATGAACGTATTCTAAGATGTTCATTTGATCTTAGACTACGAACGCTGTGCATGAGGACGTGCATATCCCTCCAAATTGGTATCAATATGGCGAGGGGCGTGGTGAGGCGCCGAGGGCTAGTGGAGCGGTCGATGGGACATGGTCCCAGCAGGGCACGGAGGCGCCGTATGATGGTGAATTTTGCGTCGCTTCTGACTCGCACATGAGTCTGAACGTAGATCAGCAGGTGTGCCTAGATGGCAGACTGCAGAAGCGCAGGCAAAGGCGCACACGCGGTCTGCGCCAGAGATATGGCGGCCCTCTGGTGCCCCAGCGGATCATGACCCGAGGCTCTCGAGGCCGCTCTCGCGCGCGATTCCTGCGATAAAACCTCCAGGAACGCCACTGATGCGGGAACACGTCAGGCTGCAAAGCATGCCTAGCGATCACAACATTCCTTTTGCAAGGCCGGTCAGCAGAGGCTTCCACGATGACTCCTACTCGAGGGACGGCGACGGGGAGAATGCGCTCATGCACGAAATCAGCATCGCAATGGCCAAAGTCGGGGGGAGACCAGAAGAGCCGCCGAAGATGCCACAGGTCCGACATCAAGTTCCTACCCATTTCACCCAAGCACACCATCTCGCCGCTCGTGCACAGTCCGTGACTCCCAAGCCAGCGGGTGTGCCCGTGGCCACACACCGTGTGGCACCGACGCCACTGCGTGCAGTGGAGAACATGCACTACGAACAGCCCCCCATAGCGCATCGAGCAACGCCCATGGAAACACAGTTCTCCGCTGCGATGCATAGCGCCCTGCGGGCGTCCACCACGACGCCACACCCAGGGCCGCGTCTCGCCCCCTCAAACTCCACGATGCAGGTGGTCGACCCTCGAACATTTACGATCGATGATGATGCCCGCAGTGTCAACTCAGTGTTCCGCCCGCCTCCGCCCCCGTCGCAGGCGCTATGGTCCGGCCCCAGCGCGCGTGCGGAGGCGGGCAGTGCGGCGGAGAAGCGCCCGACACCGACGTTGGAGGAGCTGGTGCTCATTGCGTCGGATGAGGGCGACAGCGACTGGGAGGCGTCCGCGTTCGAGACGGAGGACGTGGAGCGGATGATGAAGGAGGAGATCGGACGCTTCGAGGTGGCACATGCGCCGGCGCAGGTGCAGGTGCACTTCGAGGAGCCGGTCCGCCCGAAGGAGAAAGAGGATGAAACTAAGAAATGGCCGCCTCGACCAACGATTGTGGAAGAGGTGGTGGAAGAGGTGGAGAATGTGAAATGGCCTCCTAAGCCTAGCGTTGTGGAAGAGGTGGTGGAAGATGAGGAAACTCCGAAGAAGCCTGCAAAGGGCGGGAAGGGCAAGCGGAAAGACGATGCGAAGAAGAAAGAGCAGGAGACGAAGCAAAAGGCCCAGGAGGCTAAGCGCAAGGAGCAGGAGGCCAAGCAGAAAGAGGAGGCCAGACGTAAGGAGCAAGAGGAGGCCAGACGCAAGGAGCAAGAGGCGAGGCAGATGGAGCAGGAGGCTCGACGCCTTGAAGAGGAGAAGAGGAGAGAAGAGGAGCAGCGCAAGGCAGAAGAGGCCCGCCGTCGTGAGGCGGAGGTGAGGCAGATGATGGAGGAGGCGAAGAAACGTGAGCAGCTGAGGAAACGCGAGGAAGAACTGCGCGAAGCCGATCGACTAGACCGGGAGCGACTCGAAGCGTTCCGCAGAGAACAGGAGGAGGCCAGGCGCCGACTCGACCATCGTCAGCGGAAAGAGAGTGTGGGCGTTGTGCCGGAGGCAGCAAAGAAACAGGACGAGCAGGGTCATGCCAAAAGGGCCGCGGAGATGGCTAAGAGGGAAGAGGACATGAAGTGGAAGGAGGAAGAGATGAGGCGCAGGGAGGAGGAGCTCAAGCGCAAGGAGCTGGAGCTGGCAAAGAGGGAAAGGCAGGATGAAGTGAAGCGGAAGGAAGAGGAGAAGCGAAAGAAGCCTGGTGCTATACCTAAGAAGAAAGAGGATGAGCTGCGCGATAAAGAGAAGGAGCTGCGCAAGCAAGCGGAGGAGCTTCATAAGAAAGAAGAAGAGCTTCGAAGACGCGAGGAGGCTTTGAACCGTCGTGCTGAGGAAGTTCTAACTTTTATGAAAACCGCCCACGATGAATTTCGACGAGACTGGCACCGCATGGGCGGCATATTGTCCTCATCTGCGATTTGAAGGTGAGTCTCTCGTTCATGTTCAAATGTTTGTGGATAGTGAACAATGCGTGTCAGTTTATGTTCTCCCTTTGATATCCTTGAATTCTCGCCGTCGATATCCCCATCATAGAGTACGGTGGCACTGAGTGGCCACCGGAGGTTTCGTATTTATTCGGTCTCTTCCATAGACACTTACTCTCAGTAATGCCTCATTGGTAATCTCTCTTTTCCTCTTTTCCACTCCTACGACTCTTCACGACTCTTTACGACTGATCTGTCGCTGCTCTTGCTGATCTGCTGTTCTGGTTTCTGTTCTGGTTTCTTGCTGTCGTGGTTGCCTAACGTACTGATTTGTTGTCGTCACGAGTTTTGCTCCTGCGAGAATTCCGTCCTGTATCGATGATTTCCTCTCTTCTTAAGTTACGTTCCGTACGCCAGTGGTCGGATCGGATATTCTTATTTTATGATATGCAGACTGAGTCTGTATACGCTGTGTATATGATACTTGTAACAATGGTCAGTTACCCCCCGTATCATACTCGTTCACTACCAATGCAATCTTGTCTTTCCCCGCGCGAGCCACGACTGCTGATGCGATGGCGACGTCTCGTAACCCGACGAGTTGAATACGATTATGTACCTGAATCTCCGTGAGTACTTATTGTTTCTGGACGTGCGTACTGACCGGATCGGTGGCTGCCGCCGATAGCCCCAGGATTGGCGAGCGGCTCAACTGAACTGAATGATGAATCAGTGCATCTTCCCACCGTATTAGCACTGAGCCGTAACACAACTTGTTGACTTGCTCTTCGTTGTGGTCCTACTGGTGAGTATTTTCATTATACCATCTCCGCATTGACTTATGAAGGGGGCCGCAGGGATAGCTAGATCATGATACCTCTTGTTGAAGTGCTGGTGGGCTTCCTTCAGGATTCACACTTGGGGCCTCCGGTACCCGCATGGCCAATAGTCTATTATATGGCAAACTTCAACTCATGGACGCCGAGTCACATCTGTCCTGTGCATGGCCATTTCCCGGTGATGCACAGGGACTTTATTTTTGTCGATTGTATATTACGATTCGACTATTGTCTGGTCGACTTAACAGACTTTCCCAGCTGCCATCTCTCCAAACCGTGCATGCAGTCACGCAGCAGTCGACCCCGTCCCGTCTGGGTAAAGCTAGTAATATCCGCAAGCACCCTGCACTGCATACCGAGGGTTGATGTTGATGGGTCTTCAGCATTTACGCCGTACGCCATACTGCGCATGCAGGCTAGGCTATGGGGCGCCTCGAAATCGACTGCGGCCGGACCGTCCTGTATTTGATATTGATCTATCTCATGACGAACCTCGTTGTCACAGAACTAGGGCCACCGACCTGATAGGAATGCAGCGGCTCCGCTCTCATCTCGGAGACATTCCGTACCAGGAAACCATGCCGCTGTCTTCCAAAGTGTCTAGCGTCGAGAGATTGAGTGTCGGTGCATGCTCATCTATCTCATGGACGGAATTATGACCGGAACCCCATGTTTGGACAGGATATGGCTGGGCCAGGGGAAAGCAGACCATGAAATTTCGTCACTTAGAATGCTTTCACCATTCGCATGGGATCTCCCAGGCCGTTGCAGCCGGCAGGACTAGACAGGCAGAGCGTGCGACGATGACCGCTCCTCCCCGATGATCTCCAGCGTTCCCGGGTAAGTATGTAATGACGTTTTTTCGATGACGCCGTAGGTATACATGGCAAGGTCCCTTCGGGCATCTCCAGTCTTGCAGCATATAAGCCGTACTGCAACCCCCACAAGCCGTAAGTTTCATACTTACCTCCTTCAGCAATTCGACTTTCGCCTCTTCGTTTATAGCCCACTCACAATGTTCAGCAAGATCATCTTTACCCTCTTCACTGCCGCCGTCGCAACCGTGCTGGTCCGCGGGGAGTCTCATACTATCACTTTCATCAACAAGTGAGTGCCATAGAGCCTGTTATGCGCTGGTTTATTGACCACGACACACTGCAGGTGTGGCTATGGAACTGTTTGTATTCAGCGCTCCATCGGAGTGCCGACTCTACCTTACATCCAGTTCACAGCCTTACTTGTGGGGACCTGGCGGCGCTCTCCTCTCCACCGGCGATGCTTACACCAGCAATGGGCCCGCTGATGATTTAATTGCGTGAGAAAAACACAGCTATTGAGTGTTTTTGCGACGATTCTCATTTCCTTCTGAACTTCTTCAGCTACCTGCAAATTGGTACGCAAACATTTTCAAACAATCCAGTGTCTCTGTACAGCTCGTTCGATGCAGGTGTCTGTGGCGACAATGGTGAAAATTGCACCTTGATCGGGGCAACGCTCAGTAACGACGATGGAAGTAGCGGCTATATCTCGCTCATTCCCCCGTATTTCTTTCCTCCTCATTAGAGGTAGCTTAACTCATTATATTCTAGGCACGCGTTCTCCGTAGCGAGTGGGTGGGGGTAAGTGGCCATGCCCTCTCTTGACTTGAGTGTTACACCGAGATGTGCGACTTCTAGTTTCTACAATGGTTGCGACGGGATCGGCGCGGACTGTCAGTGACGCTTTCCTATTTAGTTGTTGCCGATATCTCAAAATTTTCCTAATGTAGGCACCTATAGCGAGTGCCCTGAGGCCGTACATAACGCATCCCAGGCCCTTCCCCAAGTGCTCTGTGCAGCCGCCGACGTGAGTGCCTCCATCTGACAACAGAGTTGAATTGCGCGGAGCTGATTACTCAGCTCGATCTGGTTATCTTATTCTGCGACTGAATGGATTCGAGTTGAAGGGGTGCCAGTGTTACATGAAAGGAGCGGTGCTTCGGTATCGTGTGTATTTTGCACATAGTTCAAGCTCAGCAAGGCGTAGTTGTGATCGTGATCATCTTGTACAAATGAGATATAAATCCAGATATACTCGAGTATACGTGTGTTGATCCGACTCCTGGCGTTACACCGTTCCTTCAGAGATCATAGCATCCCGGCAGTTCATGCACACGCCACGTCGTACCGGGAGGTAAAGGCCCCTTGGATCAATGGGACTCTTCTGGCTGGTCAGCACGTAGTACGGACAAACGTCCGATTTTATTCAGGGTCGATGATTACCTGCTTACTGCGATGATGTATACGCTGCGTATATGACACCTGTGACAATGGTCAATCACCTCCCGTATCGTACTCGCTCGCGATCAATCCAATCCTGTCCTTCTCCGCACGCGCCACGACTGCCGATGCGATGGCCACGTCTTGTAACCCGACGCCGACGGACTTGAATATGGTTATGTCGCCCGAGTCTCTCACCTGCTGTATCAGAGCATCTCTTGGGAGCCACGGTGCGTCATCCGCTAAACTGCCCTCAAACTGAACTAGCTCGCCCAGCTCGATCAGGTCTGACGGCCCCAGGCCGGCAGAGATGAGTTCTCCTGCCTCCGTCTAGTGTATACAGTCGACACGAGGGATTAGACTGTGAGCACACCCACGCAGGAAGCTCCCAAGGCTGGGTTTGGACATGACTAACCATGCATGCATCTCGAGAATCAACAACAATCTTGCCCGCCCTCCTGACGAGTTCACTATCAATCTCGTGCCTGTGTCGTGGACGTGAGCTTGCGGCGGGGCAGATACAGGCCCGCTGCTGTCGCAACGGACGTCCACTCACATGTTCGGCGTGTAGGAGCCAATGAGGCATAGGTGAGTGCCGGGTCGAACGTACGCAGAGGGGAAAAGTGACCGAGTAGACGACGTCGCGGTGACTATGATATCTGCCTGTTCGATCGCCGACTGCAGATGCGCCTCGGTGTCCTCTGGCTGTCCGAGAAGCGTGCCGGTATCGAAGCACACAAGAGGGTATTCCTTCTCGAGAGCGGAAACCAAGTTCAGTAGCCTAGAGTTGCGGGCGCGGTTGAGGATAGTGCACGAGATGATGGTGCGGAAGTAGCGAAGGAACAGCGAAACGTGTGCGGAGACCTGGGCGCCCGCGCCGATCGCCAGGAGCGTCCGAGGCGGCGTGGAAGGCGGGACAAGTAGCCGGGTGGCAAGCAACGATCCTGTGCGCAACATGTGAATAACATATCGTGCGACGGGATGTCATATGCGTACCAGCTGCGTTTCTCAGTGCCGTGAGATGCCGCGCGTTCACCAGGGCTTTCACAGCGCCCGTCCGCTCATCTAGAACAAGCGTGCTCGCGGGCAGCCCGTTCTCCCGCACGTCCTGCGGCGCCGAAAGCGTAGGAACAGAAACAACCTTGATCGCGGTACCCATCAGGGAAATCCGCGACGGCATGAAGAGGGCCGTGTGATTGCTGGTGGAAATGGAGATGCGGGAGGGCTGCTGGATTTCTGCCGACGATCCGGACGGGGATTGAGACAAAGAGTAGAAGACGCGGGACATGAGACTGGTGAGTTCGTCGGGCCCGAAGCTGCGAGAAATCGTCGAGACGTTGGTGGCGGAGAGGATGATAACTGACATGACGGTCGATTACGAAGCTCCGTTCATATGGCCTGTTGAGAAAAAGAGCACAGCGTGTCATATAATTCAAAATAACAATAACTTTACATCAACTTACTGGGCTCCTTTCAGAGCATGAAGAGGCACTGCTCCTATTCAAGATTAAAGTAATAGTTGGCGTCACATACTAATTGGCATGATACAGAATAAACGACTGGAGGCTCACCGCGATCTCCGGAAGAAACTCGTGCACGATTCCTCAATCTTGGTTTTAATGCGTGCGCGTACGACGTACGTACTGGATCAATAATCAATATTCGTCTGTCCGAGTCACCACCGTGTTCAACCGACTTGTGTTATTAGCATCGGGCGCCCCTTCGAACGGCTTTCCGAGATGTGCCGGAGACCGTGAGAGTCTCGCCGTGGGCAAATGCCGAAGTTCGGGCAGTCGAACATTCACCGGAGACTGGTCGCGAGAGACTGCGTTTTCCTCTACTTAATGTTCGATCTGCAAAACACACGGCCGGATTTTATACGCAAGGGACACTGCAAATGGCCAATCGGAGGCTGCCGAGCTGCTATGTTTGTTTCCCGGACGTGATATTCACTATCCGGGCTCTGAAAATTGAGAAAATGCGATCTCTCCCAGTGCATGTGAGTCCCCGTCCGGACATCCTGCTTTGCCGCCCACGGTGTCTAGCCGTTACTGTAAGCAGCCACAAACAGAGACCAGTGGTGGGAGATCTCGAGTCGAGTTGCAATCGGCAGTCCAGTTTAAAGTTAAACGTTGAGCCTCCATCTGGCGCAGAACTACAGCTCCGAGTCAATGCTCCTGCAGACGTTCTCTTCAGAGACCAGGGTATGATGCCGACATGAACCTCCGAGATGCTTCCTGGCATCTCTTGGGAGTCTCCCTGATTCCTGTCTGCGCAGCAAAAACAAAAATGGACCGACCATCCCGTTGCAACGGCTGCCACGAGCTCGATGCAGGTACGTTGGGCACACTGGCATCGTACGTCTTTCCTTGCCCTATCACACAGGCGTACCAAGACCCTTCGCACGTTTCGGTGCGAAATGCGGCGCCTTATCGTCAGGGGTGTCCAGGTAATAATCCGTACAGCACCTAGGCCTGTCGTGCATGGCCTGGCCTTTGCAGACAGCGCACTCATCCCACGAAAGCAGGTATGCTTACTTGTAGAATTCATGTCAAGGACGTCTGAAAGACACATGGGAGCGAGTCGCGGGTGGTGTTCTCGTTACTCCAACACTCTGGTATGTTTTTTGTTTTTGTTTTTTTTTTCGAATTGGAAATAAGGAAATCGACCCTGAAGACGAATCCGCGAAGTCACAAGTCGACTGATGCTGATGTGCTGCAGCCAGCAGCGGAAATTATTGATGGCCCGACCCGGAAGAAGCATGAACATGTGCCTGTCTGCAACTACGCATTATGACCGACGTACCCTTTAAAACGGAGTGGAATTGGCCAAGGCCAATGTGCCTGCCGTCATGGACACCAGCTCGCGCGCTGTACTCCCGGTTCTGCCCTGTCTGCTGCTGCAAAGTGTCTACCTCGCTACCCTCATCGCCCTACAGCTGCGCTGGTCCGCCCGCCTGGCCGCGTTCCTGGTGTACACATGTCTTCTCGTGCTGGCCCTGCTGGCCACGGTGGCCAACCCGCGACGGAATTACCTGATGGGCTGCGTGCTCATGCAGCATTATTTCACCGCATTCCACCTTTTGTGGCTGGCGGGGCCGCTGAGAGAGCTCCGCCACGAGCGGGACTCTGTGCCGGCGGACAAGCTCCCCTTTTGGCGTCGCGTCGGATGGGTGTTGTGTGTCTTTTACAGCGTGCGCGGGATCGGGTGGAACTACCAGGTCTGCTTCCCGGCCCCGGTTCGTACGGGTTGCATGCTCACGTCGCCCGTGTCAGATCGCCAACACCCCTCCACGCTCGAGCGCTCCCCGCTGGAAGTTTGTGCGCCGGCAGCTGGCGAATGCGTGCTTGTGGTATCTTCTGAGCGACTTTGCAAAGGCGTGGCAGGTGTCGGACTATCTGTTCCCCTCCCAGCAGGATGTTGGCGCTCTGAGACCGGGCGGTTATGTCCAGCGTTGGCTCTCCATCGTCGCGGTGTCTAGCTCGAGCGTTGGGCTGCTCGGGATGGCTTACTCTGTGGCCGCTGGGGTGGCCGTCGGGCTTGGCTGGTCGCTGCCCGGCGAATGGCCGGATGTGTATGGTGCGTGGGCGGATACGTACACCGTCCGGCGGTTCTGGGGGTGAGCGCACGCACTCGAATTTCCCGGATGTTCCGATATTGACAGCTGTGATCGCCCATCGCAGGCGGAAACACCATCAGATAGTGCGCCGGGTATGCCGAGCGTGACGCCTGGGCAGTGACACACGCTGACAAGCTGCGATTTGTCATTTAGTTTGCCGCCTCGATTGGGAAGGCGTCCTGTCGTCTTGTCAGCCTTCCGCCGGGCTCGTGGGCGTCGTCGAACACGCAGCTGTACGTTGGCTTTGCGGTGTCGGGCCTGATGCACTGCGGGGGGGACTTTATGGTGAACCGCTCAGACTTTGGGGCGTCGTTTCCCTTCTTTATCGCTCAGGCGGTGGCCATCTCACTGGAAGACGCCGTCATCGATCTCTTTACAAAGGCGGACGTACGACTCCCGGGGCGAGTAGAGCGCTGCTTGGGGTATGCATGGGTTTTTGTGTGGCTCAGCTTTTCGATGCCGTGGTACGTGGGCTGGGCGGTGAAAGCCGGGGCCATTGACGTGAAGAAGCTGCCATTCTCCCCCGTCACCATCCTGGTAGACTCTGCAGGGATCGACCTCGTTCAAACTGTGAAATATATGACTGGATCTCGAGGGTATTAGACATGGGGTGTAGAACACAAGTTGTACTTTGGTTATTCTGAATACACGTACGAGACCGAAAGGCGCTCATTTGGGAGCACGACAAACAATGTCAGGGTATACATTCGATCGGGTCAGATGCTTTGCAATCGAGATGAGAAATGGAACCACAGAAACAAGGCCCGAACGTGGGGACCTGTCAATTACGCTCAACTGGAGTCCCGTCGCTTCTTCGTCCTGCGCTCTCCCAGGTCAGCGCAGCGTTCATCCGCCCCGTCCTCCCGCGCGCGCTTGCGGCCAGAGACACTCGAGCGACTCGGGCGCGCGCGCAGTGTACGCACATCGGCGGGCCGTCGACGAGACCCGGGCGGGGGCGTGGCGGGACCTGGGCTCGAGGGAGGCGATGTCATGCTCCTGTCCAATTCAGGCGGGGAAGCATCAGCGGCCAGGGCCGACAGGCCATCTTGCTCGACGGCACACACTGCCTCGTCAACAGCAGGGAGAGGTGCCGACGATGGTGGCGGAGTGACAACAATTCGGGGGAGCGGCGACGTGCTCGCCGACGACTCGGCCACGGACTGAGTATCGGGCGCGGCACTGTCTGCAAGTAGGGACGAATGCCGCGCGCCGTCGCCTGTCGCAATCCCCGGATCGCTCTCCTCTTCCGATTCGTACTCGAACACGCTCGCGTCAGAGTCGGCGCCGTCGTCCATCATGCTCTCGGTCCGCTTTGGCCGGTCGTCTCGGACCACGCCGCCTTCCCAGTCGGGATCCCGCCGCCACTCAGCTGTCGGGATGCGATGGAGCACTGGCTCGCCAACAGGCGCACTCAGCCCCACAATACCTTCGTCTTCCATCAAGTAGTTCATCACCGCACGTCGGCCGTTGGCGGTCGACGTCATCAGCCGGTGCACAAACTCCCGCATGTGGCTCAAGTCCGCGTTTGCATCGAATCCGAGTGTGTCTGGCTGCTCCGGAAGAGTACGTTCGGCTGGTCGGGCTGCGATACAGCTCATCAATATGGCTCTGCGCCGGAACAAGAAGTCATGCTTACAAGGGCCAGCCACTGGGACAGAGTAAAGGCCGTCATCATCCTGAGCCGAGGCGAACATCTCAAACAGCGCCGACCCGGAGAGAGGCGAGCCGGGATACGGGGGAGGCGAGTGGCTAGGGCGCTCCGGGTATGGGTCCCCATGCAGACCAGACCCGTCTGTGGAGAACAGTTGTAGACACACCAGCATGGGAGCAGAAGCGAGACGTACCCATCGATGGACGGATGCCCCATGACGGATCCCAGCGCATCCAGATGTCCGGGTGGGAGTTGCCATAGACCGAGGGCAGCCGTGTGATGGGGCGAGACGAGGGGCCTGCCAGCGAGAGTTTTCAGACGCATGCGCACGCCGGTGAACGGCACACATACCTGGGGAAGGCGACGTCTGCATGCCGCGCGAGATCGGATTGAACCGGCGCGCCCTGCGCGCCGCGGTGCGTCTGGCCAAAGTCGATTGTTCCGCAGTGTCCGTGTTCGTGGCGCATGCGCCGGCAGTGCTACCCACCTCTGTGTCGCGGGGGGGTTCGCTCGAGGGACCGGCGACCGCGTTCCGGGGCTCGGATGAAGAGCCTACGAGTGGAGATGAGTAAATACGAGTAACAGCAAGCCATGAGACTAACCCGAAGGCTCAGGCTCCGTTGGGTTTGTGTGCTCCGGGGATGATTCCGTGGCGTCCGGCGCAGACAAGAGTAGGGACGTGATGGCCATGCGCTCGTCCGTCGCGTCCACAGAGGTGGCGGCGGCGGCGATGGCGGATGCAGGGCCGCTTGCGGCGTCCCCCTGCACGCTGCCTGGCGCGTCCGACGAGCGCGCGCGCCTGATCCTGTTGAGGATCCTGGTTGCCAGTGAAGGCACGCCGTCGGATCCTTGAGATGCACTGCGCCGGTGCAGTGATCTGCGTAGCGGGCGGTACATAGACCGCTGTACTCCACCTAGGCAAGCCAGATCAGTCTGGCACGCGCCACAAAGATGCTTCGAGAAACGCACGCGGCGGCAGCGGAGAATTCTCGTTGTGAGAGTTGTCACGGGAGGAAGACGGGGAAGGCATCTTGTGAATAGCTGTAGCTGGAAAGAAGTCGGTGGCGAGGTGTTTGAATGCGGAGATGAGTAGCGAGGCAAAGGCAGAGCGGCGTGCCTTTTAACATCGTCGAGAAAGCAGTGCTTGGGCCTAGCGTTAGACACTGCGAGGTCGAGTTAGACAGCCTGGACGGCCATAGCTGTACTTGCATTCATGTGAAATCCGTGGGAAGGGCTGTTCAGATATTCCAGCGAAAGAAACGTGATGTGCGGCCGGAAACGGGTCAAGTGGCAACGGGAGCACGTACAACAAAGTCGGCAAAATATGGCAAAAATACGGCACGGCCTCTCAGGAATTGGGAGAAAGGCCCTGGCATTTCTTGGACAATCCAACCCGGTCTAGTTTTCCGTTATGATGGGCCCGAGAGGAGGGACGACTGCTTACCCGAGAAAATGCTTGATTCACCACAATAAGACGTCACTATACCACCAATTATTCCTATGTTAGGGTAGATATCTCCCTCAGATAAGGAGCTTGTGAGTGTCATCGTGGCCGTTGTATTGTGCGACTCGTCGTCGACAATTGAACCCGGGCCTGAGACAGGACTACGGGCGTCTAAATTGGCTGTCAACACTGTCGGCTATTGCCATTCCTTGTCCCAGGCGTTCATTATTGGACTTTTTCTCCACTCGCACCCACGCAACATTCTACAAGATCTTCCTACAACACGAGTGCACCTATATGATTTAATGCTTCTGTCTCTAGCCCCTCAAGTCCTTAGTTTTCACGGCCCTTTTGCCAGCTGTCGCAATGGTCACGGTTTAAAGCGGGTCTGATGTATAGAAACAAGAACAAAACGCCCTTATTATCTCCGCAGCGCCCTATATCCCGGAGGGCCCCGGACACACAGTCCTTCTTATCAGTTGTAGGTGCGCAGGCCTGAGCATTCCGGACGCGTTCGGTCTTGCGGCCTGTCACGGTGAAGCCGCCACTGGGATTGTGCTAATTGCAGGCTGAATAATGGCTGCAATCTCGGACTGACAAACCAGCCTACGAAGTGGTGCCACAAAGCGATGCAGGTGTATAAGCTCGCAGGATCCTAGTTGATTTTGTGGTAGATGCCGCTTTGGCTCTGGTGTTCTGGAAACAGGATACAAGGCGGCCCGCGTACGGAGCCCTTGCGCTTGGGATTTCTGGCGAGGGCCCCTGCGCAAGCAGTGCTGGAGACCTGTGCCTGGGCTGCCTTCCTGTTGTGCAAGTGCTTCTTGACGGTGCGCTTCAGACCTGTGCGGATGCTGGCGCATCGCGCGGCGCGGAAGGCCCAAGCGTAAACTGACCCATACAACGTATCACGGTGTAGCAGTGCAGTCTAATACGCATACAAGCGTCTTCAACGCCGATTATGGTGTGGCGTTCTGATATGGACCAGCGATATATGGTGCATTATCTGTATGTGCGAGATCTAGCTACAATATCGCCACTCCCAGGTCCAAGCGCCACTGACGGCCATAGCACACACAAAAGCGCTATATAAACCCCCCTTCGATGTGTTCTCTGGCATCACAACCGCAAGCACTGAACCCACTCGAGCACATCCTCCCGCACTATCCCCTTGCATTACTCGACACTCACCGCTTTCTTATCATCTACGATGTCATCTGAGAAGCGAATCAAGAAGGCCGTTGCCGCTGAATCTACGGGTATGCAGATGCCCATTTGTCCCACTCAAAGCTGACCACCGTACTTTACCTCTAGATGGGAAAAAAAAACGGAATGCGGGCTCACCAGAGCTAGTTTATTCCTCCAGTTCAACTGCTTGCTTCGAGCAGAACCAGGCGCTCCGGGATTCTGACACTTCTCCAGACGCCCCAGGCAGAAATACATCCCCAAGTGCCAGCGGCAGTAAAGAGCCGGAGCCACAGAAAGAAAGGGAGCTCATGAAGTGGGTGGACGCTCTACGGTCTCCGCTCTCATACTCATTTACTCCCAATGTCTAGGATCCCAACCATCATGGTGTCGATACCGGATGACGCGGAGGTGTCGAAGTCTCCTACACCGGGCTCCCCGGCAACGCCCGGCAGGACCTATACGGTCTTCTCGCCAGACGAAGATGCTGAGTCTGGGGAGTCGGACGCTGGAGACTCGGATGCGAGCACGGCGACCGTCGCTCAACCTCCAACCACTCACAAGCCTCCGCGTCTCCACCTTCGGACGCGGTCAAGAACTGCCAGGCGCTCCCCTCCGTCTGTGCCCCGCCATACTAGCATCCGCATCCCCGCCACGCCGTCTCCGCGCATCCGTTTGCGCGCTCCCACCGCACAAGCGGGCCCCTCAACAGCTGCCGCGCCTGCAGACCCCGCCAGCCTGCCGCGACTCTCCGCATCGCAGGACCCATCTCGGAAACTCACCCGCCAAGGCGCGTACCTCAACGTGCTCGACGTCGACAGGCCGCCCCAGCCAGCCGAGGAGCTCACCCCCGACGAGGCGATGCGCCGGAAGCTGCTCATGGTGCACCAGCTGTGCCGCCCGGAGAACCCGTGGGGCGTCGCGCTGCGGCACACGGTCCCCACGCACATCGCGCCCGACCCCGGCCCGGACCCGTCGCCGTTCTTCGACCGCGACGGGAACTGCATCTCGTACGACGAGG